TCCAAATATTCTGCCAAAATGTTTCCACTAAATGGTAGCTTTTTTATTTCTGTAACTGCTTTTGCAATTTCCCCGTAAAACTTCATGAAGTCCGTTTGGAATATCTAATTTTGTTGATAGAACCTACAACGCTTTTGATATTGTCTTGTCTTCTGTGACTTAAATTGCAGATTTGCAGTATTTTCTTGATTGGTGGAATTTCATTTAATGTTTTACTTTTATATTTCTGTTAGATCTTGCTTTTCTGTTGAAACATTTGAATTTCTTCTTCTTATTCTTCTTATTATTATTATTATTATTATATCTGTTCAGCACAGTTCCTTGGCGAACCATTATTCAAGATGTAAGATAAGTTAAACTAGCAAATATATAAATTGTATTACTCCAAATTCTGATGTTATATGATACTTGTACAGTATTGTTTTTATTATTTGTCTTTTCTTGACATTGGTAGTACTCTCCTGAATTGAAGACTCAGAGTGATTTTTTTGTATGTCTTGTAAACACGGGCTGCCAGAGATTATTATTCTGTCCGTTGACTAAAATCACTTACAAGTTTATTACCCAAGGCTTACAATACGGCATGGTAGTAAATAGGGAAAAGAGTGGCTTGTTCTTTTGAGAAGAGCATTTTCACACAGTGTAATTATTTTTAATGTCCTGTAAACAGAGGCTACCAGGATGTTTATTTTTTATCGTACCAAGTCTCCAATTTTTATTGATATAAAAGTAATTTTTAAAGTGACACATTTTTCATTTCAATATGATTATACTTGTAATTGCTTTTTGTCAAATTCTTTAACATGTATCTTTTTTTTTATTTGATGACAATATCTATGAGAAGGCAATGTTTTTAATTATTGTCTATTGGCTTTTATATATCTGTTAGAATGAATGGTAAGGCCTCAAACAATAGTGGTCTCATCGCTTTCTGACTGGTTCAGAGTGATGTGCACACCATGTGATACATCTGTAATATTGACATATTTTCTAATAAATACATTTTATTATTGTCATTAACTATGATTGTTTCATACATTTGTAAGCTTACATCAGAACTAGAGACAAGGTAAGACCAACACTCCACATGTACGTTCCAGATCTTGGCATAGTGCTTTGGGGTCTAATATTCTGAACTTTTATTTCAGCATTGATAGTTCTTTTGTCCCGAAATAAGATTTGCAGGTCGGGAACACTAGTATCAAGAAGACGCAGAAGTTTAAATGTCTGGGAAGCGTCCTCACAGAGGACGGTAAGTGCGACACTGAGATCCGTAGACGTATTGGGATGGCCAAGGACACATTTCAAAAGCTGAGCAGAGTATTGCGAGACAGGAGGATTTCTTTCGTAACAAAGAAAAGAATACTGATCCGTTAAGTGACATGTGTTCTTTTTTACGGCAGCGAATGTTGGACGATTTCCTCACAGATGTAAAACAGACTCGAAGTGACGGAGATGTGGTTCTACAGAAAAATGCTAAGGATATCATGGCCCGAGCATGTGAGCAACGATGAGGTCTTAGAGAGGTTACAAACAATAACAGAGGTTATACTTAACATCAGGAAGAAGCATCTGAAGTTTCTGGGACACATAATGAGGAAGGAGGGCCTGGAGAATCTCATACTCACGGGTCGAATAGAGGGAAAGAGAGGCAAGAGAAAACAGCGCGTGACATACCTGACGAGCTTGAGCAAATGGATGACAGACAATGGTCTAGAGGAGGAAGCAGAGGGAAGGAGCTTACTGAGAGCTGCAACGGATAGAGGGAGGTGGAGAGCCATGATCGCCTACGTCCTGAAATGACGTGGCACATAAAAAGAAAGTTCTTTTGTCAGTGTCGTCACAGTCTCTGGCAACCATGATTACACTCTCTCTCTCTCTCTCTTTCCCTTTGCCACAAACAGTTCAATAGATATTACTAGATGAAAATCTATCCGAAATATTTTGTATTTTTATATAGTCTTATTTGCTCGTAAGACATTTCAGAAATGTCTCTAGATCTTACCCTTCCATTCGAAATTCACATAAACAAGTTTCGCTTTGAAATATTCTTAATCTATCGTTGGCTGTTATAACAACAAAAAAAAAGAAACTTTTCTTTCCTTTTTGATTTATTTGTTCGTCAACTGGTTTTCTTTAGGAGAACTGAGGCAGATTTTGGACCCCCCCCCCATTTTCAATAACAGTGTTCTCTTATCACGTATAATGCAAGAAGTGTACGAAAGCAAATGATTTAACGTATTTCCGGCAAATGCCTATTACGGTAGATTTGATGGTCGAAGCTGAACCTCTATAAATAACATTTTTAAGAGGGGGAATCACGATAGGGGAAAAATTCTGACAGAAAAAACGAAAACAAACTGCCTGAATACGAATCGTTGTTCGCTGAGACTGACATTACAAATGACGATAAATCGACCTATTCTAGACGGATACCAAACAATTCCCCAATTTTTGGAGTGTATCTCTTGCATACTGCCTGGAATAACATAGTCCTCCATTTTTTTATATTAAATGTTCAACCAACACAAGTCTCAAGAGCCACGTATATAAAGTGTATAAAGGAAGCAAGTGACCGAAATTAGTTCCTAACTTAAAGCTAAACATGTTATGTTCACCGTGTAGCAATCCTTGACAATTTTACATTATCTTTTACTGTCTATATTTTTCTTTATCTTTATTTGCTGCGTTTGACAGAGGAGGGGCGTATTCAGAATTTGATAATTTTGCGGTAATACACGCTTAAAGGTTTTAGGCAGTTTTAATCAACATTTCTTCTCATGGTTAGCCGTAAGGAATCTTAAATGTAGGACTACCTTATACTTAAGTAAAATAATAACAATAATAATATTTATTAAGAGTTGATTACAGGAAATATCAAGTCTTACAGAAACATTGTTGACAACCGTGTATTTAGTTACATAACAAATAAATAAAAATAATATAAATTTTGATGCTATATTTGATTTGTTGTTAGGTATTTTTCATTTTCTCTTTAATTACTAGCAGCATTTTCGAATACTTTGACTGCAATGCTAAGTTTCCTAAGTTGAACAAACTGGAGACATTTCATTTAGACTTTGTTAACTCTCTTTTCCATTTTGTTTTTAGATCGCTTTCTTTCAGTTATTTTGATGGGCTATAGCAAAATTCTGAAATTTAGAATGATCTTATTCCATTTCAAAAATAAAGTCTCTAAAAAGGAGTTTTAAATTAATATACGACCAAAAGTAAAATGATTTTGACAAAAATAAAATGCTTTTGACACTATAATTATGTAACAATAATGAATTGATATTCCACAGACAAATCTATTGTTTATGTTACCTCATCTCATTGCATGGTTACGGACTATAAACCTAAATTGTGCTTGAAATATTGTGGAATCGACTCTAATTTTTTGTAAAATTATTGGGCATGATATAATAAATAATTTCTCGTGAAAAATAAACTTTCGATTTTTTTGTTGAATACGCCCCACTTCCGCAGAATTTATTCTGCATAAAAAAATAAATGGTTTTAATTTATATTTCCACCCTAAGCCCAATTGAACATGGTGTCAAGAGTGAGATAGCTAAACTATATGAGACTAGCCGCTAAAAAGCTGAAGCAGCACAAACACGAAAACGAGACGTAGTAAACTTAACAACTCTTTTATTCAAAACTGCCGCTTGATCTATTTACTCCCAGCATTCCCTAATGGAACCGGAAGTGCTGAAAATCACCATCATCGTAATCAGCATTATTGATGTTGTTATAAACAGTTTTATAAACAATAGAAATTAAATTATTTAAAAGTGTCGGCACGCTAACGCATTCCTTGAAAAAAGAAAATGGAAAGTCCGATAGATTCCGGGGACCTTCAAGATAAATGAGCGGCCATTTTGAAAAACTGCTATGCATAAAACAGGTTGTAAATCGGTATCTAAATGAAAAAAAGTTTATATTTTATGTGCCCTAAAAAAAAAGTTTATATTTTCTGTGCCCTAAAAATCTCTTTTAAAACTATTTCATATTGAGCACCCTTATATAAGTAAGAAAAGGAACATACACATAATATATATATATATATATATATATATATATATATATATATATATATATATAATGGACCCTACCGTCGGTTTCGATGTATGAGGATCTGACAACTTAACTGATTCAGTTATGAAATTTTGTGCAATAATCTTAAGTGGCATTTAAGACACACTAGTAATTTACAAAGGAGGCCACATATGAAACAAGTCTGAGGATTCTGAGATGAAATCACTGTTAGATTGGCTGACTTTTTAGATCTTGCTCTCGCTTCTTGAAGATGATTCAGACAAGCAGATTGAAAACTGCTGAGTCCACTAAAACACGTTGATCTCTATTCTACCCGCTCCAAGGCTAAACGCTCAAGAGTGTTATGTGGTACATTGACAGCTGGTATATTATGTGTATGTTCCTTTTCTCATATATATATATATATATATATATATATATATATATATATATATATATATATATATTATTCAATCGTTCTAATGAGATTTCCTCTTTGGTACGTCGACCTCATGAATTTAAGCGTAATACTAGATCGGCAATTCTTATCATTTTAATGTTGAAATAGTTAGATGTAACCATAAGTTCTTTTCTAATAGTTTCTTCTCTCGCACTTCTCACTTGAGAAACACTTGTTATTCTCTTCTCAACTACGGACTTCAAAACTTTAAACGCAATACCAATCATCATCTTCTGTCTTTCAGACAACCGTCCTTTTATTGTCTTTTCCCCGCGCACTAATATTTTCTCATTTTATTAACGGTGAGCTCCTGCGTCCTAGTGTGATTATCGCTTTGATTAAGTTGGAATCGCGTATAAATATGGAGATTAGACTTTGGTTAGTTCATATACACGAATTACTTACAAATGTACCAGGGAAATGAATCGAGACACTACACGAGAAAATGCTACTCGAAAGAAATCTCTGCCTGAAAGCTATGATTCTGTTGGATGCTAACCTGGACCCCTGGTGCGATTGGCAAAATTGTTATTGTTTATTCTCCGGGCAAGTTTCATCTGGATTCGATCAACCTTGGAGATAGCCAAGAATTTATTTCCCACTGTGTTTGACACTTCTTTCTTTTTGACACATTCTCTATGAGTGAGTGCGGGGACGAGGTAAGAAAGAGAAGGAAGAAGTAAGAAGAAAAGAGAGCCCCTCGAGTAATGCAAGAAATAGAGTTTCTTATCTTGCACTGTAACAGCAAAATTGTCCAAATCGTGTCACAGCAAAAATTTTATAATTGTTAGATTAAGATTTGAATCGTTGTATCTTAGAAATGATTAAAGATATCTTACTGGAACTATCCGAGATTTTTATAACACTGTTGGGGGTCTACTTTGAACAATGAGTTGAAATGATGATCCCACTTGCTGTTGTAACATCCTGATGCATTTTTCAGCTTTACTGATCCCTCTTATTTAAAATTATTCACCTTACCCATAACGGTTCTTGAATGAACTTTGAAAATGGAAGACAGTGAATGAATGTTGGTACCATTATTATGCCACCCGAATGATCTTTTTCTTCCCAGCATTGCTCACTTGGGAAGATAGTGGGTCCGACACAAAACAATTTTAACACACTCTCGTTTTAGCTGAATAACTCAAAGGTTTATTCAGTGATTCTTACGACAAATGATGTCAAGATGTCTCATCTGAAAACCTAGAAAAAATTGTTTTGTGTTTTTAGATATTAAACATTTTGATGGATGGACAATTGTCCCATGCTGTTATATGATTTGGAGAATTTTACTATTAGTCCTGATATATATATATATATATATATATATATATATATATATATATATATATATATATATATATATACTTTAAAAAATTTGGGGATCTGTTGAATTCCTAATTTTTTTAAGTTTTTAAATTTAAAAGCTCTACATGTTATTTTAAATTTTATTGTATTTTTCAAACGTGTATTGAGCACTATTTAATACTACTATTTCCTGGTCTGATTCATCTCTGACGATTAACCTTATATATGTATATATGCCAACAGAAAGTACGCGATTAAGGAATCAATACTGCATGGCGACTATCAGCCTCAGATCAAATGCCACTACTCCTTTACCAAACTGATTATATAGGTCAGTAATGGACTAAGGGCAGTCAGAAAAGGGAACGTCTCTCAGGTCGTTTGCTTCGAGTTAAAGCTTTTTGTGTAATTACGGTCATGACCTCTAGATTGCTTATTCATGCTGGTTGGGTGGTTCGAGGAAGTGTGTGTAGTAGTAGCCTTATTTATGGTCATGACCTCCAGATTGCTTATAAATATATACTATAATTTTATTCATTTTTTTATATATTTTTATTAGGTTTACGTTTCTAAGTTTTAGCATCTTGAAAAACTTTATCATATTTAAGTTATGGGATTTTATTTAGTCTTTTTCTTCATGTAATGGTAAGAGAGGAGACTGAAAGTCTCTATAAAGTGTAGATTCCTATGTCCACCAAGTATCTAGAAAAATGTTTCTACGCTATTCTTCAACAAATATAGAAAACATTAAACAATATATATATATATATATATAAATTATTAGATTTGTTAATAAAAATTATCTATTGAATCAAAGAAGTGAATTAACTGTAAATTGCAGGCAAGACTTACCTTTCACCTTGCAATATGGTTAAACTTTAAATTTGGTAGTAGGGTCATAATTAGTAAGTAAATTGCGGTGCACCTTCTATGAATTATTATTTTGTTTTTGTTTATTTGAATTAAATATAGGTATGTATCGCTGTTTAGTCGGCATTATCAAAATCTTGTATAAATATTATTGCACCTTATTTTATTTTATTTTTATTTTTTATTTTTATACACTTAAAGTGCATTTACTGGTTTCTTAAAGAAGCCTTTTTTATTATCAAGTATAAAATATATGTTACAATTAGCTGTACGTTTGATTATCTTCCCATCCCTTCCCTTAGCTTCTTATAAAATTGAACAAGTTACATTTGTTTCATAATTATGATACATTATTGCCACTCGCTTATAGTTTATATTAATATCTTGTCTGCCACCCATGACCTTGTCTAGATTTATATTTCAAACTACATTTTACCATGACCAAAATTCGCCCTTTTACAAACCTCATTTTGATTTGTTGTTGTCTGCTTTTGAAAATTGAAAATAATGTTTTATTCACATCATCACCTGAGGAGACACAATTTGAGGGTTGAAACATGAAAGCTATTGTGTAGGGATTTTAATCATGTTTTTGTTTTAATCTCATTTAATATATATATATATATATATATATAATCATATATATATATATATATATATATATATATATATATAATCAGCATATACTATATATATATATATATAATTAGCATATATATATATATATATATATATATATATATATATATATATATATATAATCTAACAGTGCGCACATAGGTATTTCCATGTAAGATACCATTTTAAATTGCATGTTTTAACGTAGATAAAAGAAACCAAATGCAAAAGCTCTATTATCATTGTCACGAACGTGTCTTTAGATAGATAGATAGATAGATAGATAATGAATACATAGATAGATAGATAATGAATACATAGATAATGAATACATAGATAGATAGATAGATAGATAGATAGATAATGAATACATAGATAGATACATAATGAATACACAGATCGATAGAGAGATAGATAAAGGAATAGATATATTTCCGCTACTTCTGTTACTCTGCACATAGCTTAAATGTTAATTTATACTTTTTCTGCTCCCATTGATTATGTGGCGTTATCACGACGCTAAATGTTGCGTTCTCTGGTGGTGTATCATTTAGTGTCGCTTTGATGATGTGTCTAAAATACGTCTGTTTTGCTCTAGGGAATCCCTGGTTAATGAGTTGGTGTTAGATGACTTCTGCAAGAGGTACGTCATGTTTGTTGAAATTAACTCCAATGCATTACTTCTGTTCGTTTCGCTACAGTGGAAGAAAAGGATTGTCTTCTTAAATTGGGAGTCTTTGTATCATTTACCCAAGCCTCCCCACTAAGATGGGATCTGGCACAAGGCCGAGTTTGTTTTTTTTTGTGAGAACTCGAGCACATACGCTTGGAAAGGTACAAAAATTTCCCAGTCCCAATAAAGGTCGGTTGAATTGGCCTTATTGGAAACCACCGACCCCGCTCTCTAGTGCAATGAGAGGGTGCAGCCTCAGGTAGCTGTTCCCCAGTGCCGGGACCTCAAATATTATTTTCCTAACTTGTGACTCTCTCCGCAGACAGAGGCCCCAAGTGAGTCACACTCTGCCTAAAGACAGGATTGACAGAGACAAAACTGAGATATTATACGCATTCCAAAGAATGAGACGCGGAACGCTTGTTTTGGGGGAGTCCTTCTTCTGGTAGCCATTTACTCTGTATTTTTTTGCTTGCAAGATAAGAAACTCAATTTCTTACACTACACGAGGGGCTCTCTTTTACTCCTGTCTCTTCTTTCTCTTTCTTACCTCGTCCCTGTTAGACATTTTGACGGTCGTCCTCGAGTATAGAATCCAGAGGTTGGCAGTGAATATTTCGAAGACAGTAGGAAAGCGTAGTTCAGGTTCGCAGTGGATATCACAGCAGAGTGTCGTTCTTCCTTCTGTTGTGTTCGCCTGACAAGTTGGCTCTGGTCCTTCCGGTAGGAAAAAACAAAGATGGCCGCCTTTATACACAACAGATACAGTGTTCTGCGGCTCCTGATTGGTTAATCTTATATTGGTAGACTATAAAGGGAACTGTCAGTCTGACTCGCTCACTAGTCAGATGCATATATACATAAAAAACCGTAACAGTCCCCGCACTCATTAATACAGAATGTGTCAAACACATTGGGAAATAAGTTCTTGGCTATCTCCAGGGTTGACAGAGACGCAACTGAGATATGATATGCATCCCCAAAGCATTGAGATGCGGAACGCTTGTTTTGGGGGAGTCCTTGATCTGGCGCACATTTACTCTGTATTTTAGAGTACGTTGCTCGATGTTTTAGCATTCCTTTTCTTTCCTGCAGTATAAGCATGGGTTTTAAATTCTCTAAACCGTCTTACCTTGTTATTTGTCCTATAAATTCCAGTTGTCTCTTACTGATTTTAAACAGCACATGCTTAGTTGTTTTTTATTCTCTTTAAAACTTCCTTATTACTCAAATGTTCCGTCCGCGGTATTCTTACCATGCTTCTATCTTTGTTGCCTAAAGCCTCCTAGCTTACGGCCAAGCCACGTTCAAACATCGGTCCTCGTACGATCACCGAGGTTAACCAATGTTGAGCCTGGTCAGTATCGAGATGGATGGTCTCTTGGGTGTGCAGGATATCTACTAAACGCCCCACGCTGTCAGATGTGTCACAAGGCCGATTTTAATGTGGGATATCCCAGCCCGTAGGCTCGGCCAAAAATTCACCGTAGTCCCCGTATAAAATGGGATCGTGTAGCTGTTTCCCGAGACGGGACTCTTTCCTTCGATATAGCCTCGTCTAGGTCGCCTCTCTGCCCAGAGGCAGAGAGTTTGACCAGCACAGCTGGAGACGAATCTCCAACTGCAGGATATCTACCAACCTTCCCACGCGGTCAGATGTGACTCAAGGACAGATTTAATGTGGGGTATCCGAGTCCGTAGCGTCGGCCAAAAATTCCCCGTACACCCCGTATATAACAGGGTCATATAGCTGTTTCCTGAGACGAGACTCTGCCCTTCGATATAGACTAGTCTGGAGGTCCTCTCTGTCCGATGCCAGAGAGATTGACCAGCACAGCTGGAGACGAATCTCCAACTGCCGGTGGATTAATAGATAACACCGGAAGTGGAAGTCGGAGAGTCATGTTCCAATTTCAGTCAGACTTATTATATTCCCAAATAACATTTGGAAACGTATGAAGCAACTATGGGTTATTGTATCAATAAATAATCATTATCTCTAAAACAAAAAAATTCTTAAAATGAAAAACTATTTTCTGGCTTTAAATAATGTGCAGCAGCCTAATAATCCTTAATAAAAAGTCAATTAAGCCTCCTCTTCATCTGTGATGAATTTTTTCTTTCTCTGCCATATTGGAGGACTGATATTACATACAATATTTATTGATATTTATTTGTTTCTAACGAAAATTTTCTTTATACATTGTTTAGTGATATTTATTTGTTTCTAACGAAATTTTCTTTATACATTGTTTAGCTTTTTAAATACATTTTTCTCTCTTCCGATACTTTTTCGCTTTACTAGACTACAATTTTCATCGTCTATTACTACAGTAGCCAGTTAAGTTAAATTTCCGCACCGACTTAACATTAATATACCCGATACGTAGCTCGTACCTTGGAGTGTGAACCCTTTTGCTGAGAACCCCCAAAGTTCATATTCTTACGTTGATGGTTATTCGTCTCTTCTTGATCTCATCTACTACCATGCTACAACGAAAATGCAACACTGCCTTATCAAAATTCCTCTCAACACGCTTTTAACGGGACGCGTTACTTCAAAAGGCGAATAGTCTTAGGGTAAAGTGTCGGACGGGAGCTGTTCAGTTTTTTTTTTTTTTTTTTTTTGCTGATTTGATTTGTTTGTTTAACGACATAGCAACTCCTCATTTAATGCCAAAATTTACTTTTCGTGGATGCTTGGAAGTAATAAAAACATAATATATGTTATTCTGATTTCACAATTGAGTACATGGTAGATGATACTCAGCTTTTGTGCATACATGCTTGTGTGAAGATAATTACTAGAGGCAGTGATATATGTTTTTTATGTTGTAGTTGTGTAGAAGTTATTTTGGAATACAGTTTGATTTAAGAAATTGTAAGGAAGTATACGGATTAATATCATGAAAGTCTTATTTCATGTTAATTGATGTACTGTTGGTAATTTTACTATAAATAGGTTTTTGATAATTTTACTATAAATAGGTACCGTTGGTAATTTTATTATAAATAGGTATTGTTGTTAATTTTTTATATGTAAATATGTAATGCTGGTGTTTTTACGAAGAAATTTATTTTTATTCTTTCATAGGGTTTTGCTTTTGCTTACGGGTTCATAGTTGGGACCCTAATAGGGTTTAAGGTGAACCAGGTAACTATAACAATTAAGAGATGGTTCCCCGCTTTTCACAACCCCCAATCTTCCTATCAGAGGCCTTCTGTTTGTGTGAACGCATCTGTGTGTGTGTGTGTACGTGTGTATGTGTGTGTGTGTGTTGTACGAGAGAGAGAGTGTGTGTGTGAGTGTGTGGGAGAGAAAGAATTGGAGAAATTTTGCCTTATGCCAGTGAAGCATCCCAGAGTAAAGCCATACCAGCATATTCCTGGGTATAGTTTAACTTAGGAGTACGGTTGAGTGTTGAATACTGGCTTAGATTGAGGAATAGGAGAGCTGAGTTCGAATTCCAGTTACATCCACTTATATGCAAATACCATTGGAAAAATTAGGAACACTTATCTTCTCCCAGCTGCGAGTAAAACAGCAGGGCAGACTGGGTACTATAGCCTTAGGTGACAACCTCTCTACGAGAAGCACAACTTATATATATATATAATCACGTATTATGAAAAAAATAACGAGATTATCAATGATTTGAATCGAACTCAAGTAAAATAGATCTCATAGTTTTTCCAGCTTAATCCTTATTATTTAAAGGCTGTTTTTTTTTTTTTCGACGGAGGCAATATTTCTTTTTTTCATTATTTACATGGTTCGGACTGTTGTCCTCATCTCTACTGTCATGTTCGCGACGTTTCGGCAGCTGTACGCTCCGGCCTTCTTCGGGTGATGTGAATTTCTAACTGGACACTTTATTTCGTACACCAGGGTACATTGTTCTAGTTCCACGTGCCATGCATCTTTCAAATGTGTCAGTTTTCTCCTTTTAGCTCAACTCTCCAAGTTATTTGTTAACCACTGCCGTGGCCAGGTATTGACCTCACAACTCTTTGGGTCAAGTCACTGGACCTAACCAACGCTTTTATCCACTGGGTCATGTCTCCTTAAGATAACCGTAATGAATCGTTCTGTTACACTGACCTTCCGGCTTAATTATTTGATTCATTATCACAGAATATTGTAGGAGGTTAAAATTTATAAGGCCGTAAGGTTGTTTTATAAAAAGTCATATATAAAAAAATAACGTATAAATATATTAAAATAGAAGTCATATATGTTAATGAATGCTTAATGCAAGAAAAGACTCCTCGATTAAGAGTGATTCTTTAGTATTCTTATCGTTTCCGTTTTTGCAAGATAATAATTTAGTGGCTGAGTGGGTTTACATTTTAAACAACAAAAATCATTGTACAAATGCCTTCTGTATAGCGTATTGTATATTGTAATGTGTCAGTTTTCCAAGTAGGAAAAGTTTACCTAACCTGAAAAATCAGCATTCGAATTTCTGGTTTTACATGAATTTGAACACCAAATATTTTTACAAATAGATAGATAGATAGATAGATATGAAAACACTATGAGATAGATTGAAATTTTGTTTAAATTGCTTAATTATCTTTCTTGTACACTTAGATTACTCTTGGACGGGACGGCCTGATTCGTATTTTTTATGGGTAATGGTGAAATATGCATTTCCATACAAGAAACATTCTGCATTCACTTACCAGTTGGATTTCTCTCGGTTGAAATTCATTGAATTTTTTTTTCATTTCTACCCCTCTTTACTTTACTGATGACTGTTTCCTTCCTGACCTTTTGTTGAAG